TGGGAAAAGTGGCCACACACACAAAGTGCGCAGCCAGTCCCACTGTTATTTACGACAGCCACCGCTCGAGCAAAACACAAGGCCTGTTTTTGCATTACGAATTTGCAGTGTGCCTGTTGTGGGGCCTAACACATTTGTTTGACAACTCTTGCACACATTGCTCCCATTGAATGCGGGTGATGTACACATACATGTGCACACAGACAAAATCATACAGGAACACATGACACGGATGTCTCTCGCATCGGACCTTGATTAAACTGACCAGTCAGAATGCACCACGTGTAGGCGTGCTATCGATTGATTGACTGCTGATGACTTGTATGGTCAGTACCGGCTGGTGAAATGCTTTTGTTGTTGTACATGAATTACGATACTTCCAGTTTGTGCCTAATTACAAGGATTTATCTCTTTGCATATTACGAGTTCTATTGTATGTAACATTTGGTGTCGCAACATATGTTCTGGAACCACTCTTCCTGCACCATTTGGGGTAGACCGTAACGTTCAACCTGCTTTGGAGTACTAAGAACAATGGAAGAGGTCGTATGGAAACATCATATTGATGGCCTGTCTGTGCTATATCCATCGATTGTTCTGGATAAAACGAACAAGTTAAGGCTTTTACATCATTTATTCGGAGACGAACGATTTTCGTTAGTGCGGCGATCGTGATTTGCAAACGTGTTCTAACTTACAATCCTAATATCAGTAGCTTGGACCGTACCGTAGGATCGCAACTGAATTCGTTCACTGCCAGATTTTGATTCTCTGGCGATGTTCAGGAAAACGGGGAGCCATTGATACCAGTGTGTTTCTCGAATCAGCCGATCAGTGTGGTTTTGTGAGTATTTGTGGTGATCCAGACTTCCGTGACCGCAATCCATGCACGACTAGGTACAGTTTCATGTCATTCAATCACCGTTCGGGAAGCTCGACCAATGGTACACCGGGCGAACATGACATGCGAGTTAGTACACATGATGCGTCAGTGCAAACGGTTACGTGATTAGAGAATGCTCGTTCAACCAATGATATGGACTATTACATTCTATAAAACATGATCTAATTCCGTGAATAAAGATAAGCATTTGCTACTATCAATTCCTCGTGTATTTCATTGGTGTCCGCAGTTCGGGTTGGATCCAATTCAGTTCTGAGCAGTACAGTACGGTTCTTGTACTCTTAAATTCAATACTATTCCGACTACCGCAGTATTGTGTGGTTCCACAGAAGAAAATCAAAGGATCAATGTTGATTCTAAAGATGATCGACTTGTTGAATTACTCTCGAAAGAGGACGCTGACAAACTGACGTGGGAGGACGCCTGCGAACTAGCGTTGACCAATCAGCAGTCCTGCAAACCAGCGGCTGTCCTTACCCAGCGGCAGCAACGGATCACGAGAAGTTCCATTAATGTTGGAGGAATGCGCCCACAAAAGTTCAGGTTGAAAGTAACTGGTTGCCGACAGTTGCGCACAACGTCATTTCACTACTGCTCGCACCTTACGGCAAAAAATCTAGTGCGAACACTTGAAAGTGCTGTTGCATTGACAAATCAACAGACTATGTCACAGTTTGAAGAACTGCTGTAAACGTTCCTACTACCGTGCAAGTAATTAGAACACCCCAACTCCAAAGAAAGATCGGTTAAACCGCTCAAATCACGAAGGTCTTGATCCTCAATGCAATATACAGATTTGATCAGAGATGTGGAGGATCACCGACACTGAAACGTACAAATACGTTGAGAGGAGCCTGCTAGTGTGATGGAAGGTGGTAAAAAGAGGGCTCCGGCTAACAAACGAATGAAGAATGGGACCCATCCAACCAGATGCGCCGACGTAGTGGCTGGAAGTACTTCGAGAGACAATGTTGACTACCACCCACAACGAACAAATCGACAAGTACAGCTCGACAGAGGATCCGCAGCTACCCAGAATGATTCGACCGGATGCCACTACGTCCGAGCTGTCGATCAACGTATCTCCCGGTACGATCTGCTCAAACCAGCCGGAACGGCACGCGTACGTGCCAAGTGCGGACCAAAACCAGCAGGGATTGACCAACAGAAAGAGGCATGAATCATCCTGTCGCGCGTTTAAGAATTGAATGTATATATGTATGAATGTATAATTGAACGCGTACAGGTATTGACCAAACTCGTGCAACATCTTGATTTTCATCACATTTGTTCCTCTCAATGCTTTGTTTTTCCAGCCTTATTCACGGCATTGATTATGATATTGCCCCACATCAGACGCAAAATATTTGATATATTACCCACTTATGTCACTGCTTCTATTAGCCACATGCCATAAAAATGTACAATTTCGTGGTTTCAACGATTTTTGTTAGTGCATTAGTTGTATAGTAACAAAGTAAAAAACGTAACTGTAATTTATTTATTAAAATGACTCATGGACTTCATACACGTATTGCACTTACGTCTCGTCCATGTTCCATTTGCTTCTCTTCAATTTTGAGCACTGGAGACTGTCGCTTTAGCACGGATTCCACTAAGTTGACTGTCAAACAGAATTTGAAAGTTTCCTCTAATACACCGCACACCCTTAACGCCGGCAACCAGTGGTAAGGTAGCTAACTTATCGCTGTTTCTGATAGAGGGAAACGTTTCCGATGAAATTAAAATCCCAGCTGCTCCGCGTTAATAGAACGAATTTGACATTGAAATCAACCCATCTAGAAACTGTATAAATGTGAAAAAAATAATATTTATTTAGGTCTAACCACTTTCTACCACCAAGCTCAAGCGAGCTGATATGCCTACCTTCATATATGAAAAATATGACTTCCGCAAATGCATTTTTGGAGTGACAGTTACCAAAAACCTCAATTATTGGTGCAGAAACTGTTGTTATGTCCATATTGGTGTATGCAAGAGACCAACGACAATGCGCTCAATAACCATATTCCTTCCAACTCATTAGGCGGTGTAGATATTTACTTCTTTTGACAGGTAAAAATATATTCATTAGAAAAATAACTCAGTAGATCAGCTTTAACCATATGCTAAATTATTCGTTGGCCACCAGTGTGATAAACCCATTACCAAATGAGCGGGCGACGCAATTTAAATTCCTGATCCGCAATCAGTATCTATTTCGATCAATAAACGTTTTCCCATGCAGCTCACCAGCTCGCTTCACTAGTGCCATCGCCCATGACAGCACAACTCAATGAAGGTACCTTGGCTAAACGCGTTTGCAGACGGAGATGTGGTGAAGTGGGTTCGCGATTTCGAATTAATCGCATTATGCAACGGCATCAAAGGGAGCGCGCACATGGTCACCGCGTTGCGTGCACTGCTTTCCGGACGAGCGAGGGTCGCTTACGATTTTAATTTGGAAAGCCACCAAGCCTTGGATTATGAGAATCTGGGAGCTGCATTGGTGGCAGAGTTTTTTCAAAGGAAGGTGTCCGCGAGGAGGCAATGAACCGGTTTTACGCTGCAAAGTACAATCAAACTGAGGACCCGCTGGCGCACTACCAACACATAAAGCGACAAATTTCGCTGAGCCTGCCGGAGGCAAACAATGGAACACGGGAGAGGTTTGCCATAGACCGGTTCATACAACGCACGCCGGCACGGACGAGAGACAAACTGAGGCTTGCGGTGGCGTGCGGGGTGAATGATGCAGACGACCTAATTTCAATTGAGGAAGCCTGTCAACAAGATGACGTGATTGCTCGGGGGGATCCTGCCGAAACCGAAGGTAAGATTGAACAAATATTTGAGAAAATTAAAAGACTGAAGGAGGAACTCAAGGGCGGATCACAAGGAAGGAGACATTTCAGGGCTCAAGTTCGACCAAAGCGGTGTTTCAGTTGCCACGGTATAGGACATGTTGCCCGTTTTTGCCCAAACCACCACAACCGTGTTTTTCTCTTTCTAATCTGACTGTCTGTGGGATTCCAAGGCTCGAGGTTTTCATTTTGGACGGTCAACGGTCGTTGTTATTGATACGGGTGCCGGGATTTCCATTAAGCCTCCGGTGGAAGGGGCTCCGGTGAAACTGTGCAATGTGAGCGTACGTGCGGTTGGGGGTATACCACTCAGAGTCTTGGGTAAATAATGTGTTAGTGCGCAGATTGGCGGGGTGACCGTTACCCATGAGATGGTCTTGATGGAAGGTGTAAGTGAGGTGGTAATCGGCGTCGATCTGCTCAGGCGCGTGGGTGCGAAAATTGATTTCGGGGGATGTAAATTGCTCGTGGGATCACAAGCACATGAATTAAACTCAGGAAAACAAACGCATGCGGTCGTCAAAGTTGTGGGGACATTGGCCGTTCCGGAGTGTTCGATTCCATGTGTTTAGCAATGCACTGAGAAGTATTCTGAATTGTTTTCTACTTCGAGAGACAATGTTGACTACCACCCACAACGAACAAATCGACAAGTACAGCTCGACAGAGGATCCGCAGCTA